GACAATACGTACTCTAGTAACCAACAGGCAAAAGCCCGCAACCAACCCAATCGACCCTGAACTCCAAAAAGCCGGAACCCTGTATATATCTTCCGATCCGATAAAACACCCATCCTCTCGCGCCCAGGTTCTGCCTTCTGGCAATTCTGATGTCAGCGTTACAGATATCGTGGACGCTTGAGCAGCCAAGCAATAGCCTCATGAATAGGCACAAGCGATTTCGGCAATTAGCCAAATCTCTTTATGATGCTTGCTAGCAATGAGGTTGTGAGTCTTGTTTACATGTTCCACAATACCGATCCAGTAGTTTGAACTAAGGTACGTAAAGTTCAGTTCTGGATGAAGAAGTGGGGGTCAAGTACGCCCAAGAGAACTGTGGTCTACTCGAACGATGCTTCAATAGTGCGGTTTCAGACCTCAAAGTTGACCAAAGAGCAGCGGAAGGGTTGCCGTCAATTGGTGAAGCGTAGCATAGGTAAAGATGGCAAGCCGAAGTTCAGCGGCAACAAGTTTCTGAAGCGATCAGAGTGTCTAAGCTTCAATGAGAAGGCTTTTAGTGCAGCAAAATTACAATCCTGTATTCAAATCTTAATTCCCACGCAGGCAATATCCCCTCGGGTTTGCACTACGCTACTTGCAGATCTTTGAGGAGCTGGCTACCAATGATGAGCATCGAAGAGTGGAGCACAAGGTAGGATAGAATGGGGGATTGCAAGCGTATTAAATATCTGGCTAGCTTATATAAGAGTTCCTTGAACCCACTAAAAGCATTTTCATTAGCTTAGCCTAGTATTTAGCCAGGTAGAAGCTCCATGACCCCATTATGTTAATTTATATTTTCATTATCCAGCTAGAAGCTCCATGACCCCACTAGAAAGGATTTCAATTAGCCAGCTAAATTCTTCCCTAGTTTGCCTGCGTGAGGCCCCTCCTGCTGAGACCATTGACTTCAACACCGTCTACCGGCTCTTCCAGGGTGAGTACGAAGATGTATGGGGTGATGCCGATATGCGGCCAGTCTTACGATATCTGAGGGGTAATCGACACCTCAACTTGCCTGAAGGTTACAAGCTTTTCATGTAGAGATACCTACATGGCATGCCTATATGGCCAGCACGCAATTCAGAACCAGGACATATATGGTAGATCCGTATATAGCCTATATATATTATTTACATACTTATGTATCGAGATATGGGGCTCTAAAGAATACATTGTGTCCTGGGATGGTGTACCACGGGCCTGAAAGCGTACATAAAAACAAAAGCGCTTGCAATTGTTGTACAGTGCAGAGATTGTCAATCCTTGCAAGTTTTGGGGCATTTGCGGGGTTTCACTACCTTTTTTGCGGGGTTTACTGCGTATGGTGAGGTTTTAGCGAATTTTATACGAAATAAAAGACCCGAAAAAAAGTGTAAAGACCCGTAAATCGGCGTCAAAGACCCGTAAAAAAGTGTAGGTCCAAAACCCGCAACTTTTGTATCACCGTCGCTCGGGGTTTTACAGAACTTAATGCTCAAGCAATAGCCTTATCATATGGCTTTCTCAAAAGTGTGGAGCTGCACCAGCTTGCAAGCTGGTATCGACGCCCTAGCCCGACAAGAAGCACCTGCTATGCCTACGCCAGTGAAAAGGGAAATCGATGTCAATGGCTTGGACGGAGATCTGCTAGATTTTTGACTTAAATAGTATTGTTGCTAAGATCTTACATGTACAGCTTCATTTACCTGAACCCAAACGCCTGTTGAATATAAGGAGGCTGACAAGCTGTTGCAGCAGCTTCTTGAATACAAGGCGCGCAAAATGGAACAGCTCGCTCCCACCAAGTCCTTTGCGGATACTCTCCGTGATTCCCAGAATGAACTAGCAGCCCCAGTCCCGCATGTTGCAGAGCATGAGGATCAGGAGTCAATGACCGGAGGACGCCCAAATCCAGCAGGCACCATGC